CTTCTGCGGCCATCTCTGTCACCTAAGCAGCTGCAGCTGGATGTGCGGCTGCCCATCACGCAGCAGCCACAGGGTCCTTCTGAAATACAAATATAACCATGCTGTGTGGCTGAACACTCCTTGTTCTTAGCAGAGGGATGGGTCCTTTAAAGGGTAGTTTGGTGCATGATGACATGGGAGTTGCACTGGTCAGATCCTCTTTGTGCCACGATACTTTCTCTGACGGTGGCCCTCTCTGATCTCTGTCCCTGGGCTCACCCCATGCAAGCTCTCAAGTGACCTTTCCCAACCAGATCCGGCCAGTGGAGACAGGTGAGAGGGCATCTCTCCCTCTCTCTGCGTCCTGTGGTGTCTCTGGGGGAGGCTGCCTCTCCTCCGCTATTTCTGCTCCCACCAACAGCCTCTCTTCTGTGGTCCCAGGTCCTACCGGACAGCCCCTATGTGCCTTCCCTGTGGCTGCCATGATGAATCTCCAGAGTGGGTGGCCCGGAAAACTGAAAGTTATTCTCTCACAGTTCAACACCCGCAGCCCCACATAGAGGCGTCAGCAGGGTGAGTCCCTCTGCAGGTCTGAGGGTGACTGACCTGTGTGCCCTGCCTAGCGGCCTGGCCTGCTGAACACCCTGGAGTTCTTTGGTCTATGGCAGCATCACCCCAATCTCTGCCTCTGTCTTCATGGGGCATTTTTCCCCCCTGTGTCTCCTCTGAGTCTCTGTTTCCAATCTGTCCTTTTTTCTCATAAAGACACCATCCCTTGAATTTAGGAGCCACTCTAGTCCAGGGTGACTTCGTCTTAACTTGATGACATCTGCAATGTCTCTGTTTCCAATTAAGGTCACACCTTCATAGGGACCAAAGATTAAGACTTGAACACAAGTCTGCCTGCTGCAGCTCCTGCTGTGGTTCCATGGTCCACTGACATGGCCAGTGGACTCCTCTTTCTCTGTGTCCCTCCAGCCATGGAGTGGGAACCCCTTTCTGCTAGAGCTAACTTCTGGGCTGCTTTGTCAAGGCCTGTTCGGTTCCGCAGCAGATCTAACAAGGTGTGCAAATACTTCCCCATGTCCGACTTCCTCTGTTGAATTAGCTGGTATTTCTGACAAGACTTTTGGGGATGTAGTTCTGATATACTACATATATGTGTATTTTTTTCTTTGCCAGGCAAGGTGGTGCACACCTGTATTCCTGATGACTGAGGAAGGCTGAGGCAGGAGGATCACAAGTTCAAAGCTAGCCTCAGCAACTTAATGAGGCCCTAAGCAAAAAAAAAAAAAAAAAAATGAAAGAGTAGGGATGTAGCACCATGGGGTTTAATTTCCAGTACCAAAAATAAAATAATAAAATATATAATTTTAAAATGCATTTTAAGATATAAACTTGTTATACATTTATATATTGTTCATTACTTTTTAACTATTCTATTTTCATTATATTTGCTTAAGAATCTAGAATAGGAAGTATAGCTTGGTGTGGTGGTGCATGCCTGTAATCCCAGCAGCTTGGGAGGCAGGGGCAGGAGGATCTCAAGTTTAAGGCCAGCCTCAAGTGAGGCCTTAAGTAACTTAGTGAGACCCTTTCTCAAAATAAAAAATAAAAAAGGCTGGGGATGTGGCTCATTGATAGAGCGCTTGCCTATCATGGGTGAGGCACTGGGTTCGATTCTCAGCACCACATATAAACAAATAAGTGAATAAAGATCCATCAATAACTAATAAAAATTTTAAAAAAATAAATAAATAAAATAAAAAAGGCTGGAGATGTGGCTCAGTGCTTGGATTTGGGGTCCAATCTCTGGTGCCAATTACAAATCTAGCCTTACTGATTTGTTTGAACAATTAACCTTAGGATGTATTTTAAAGTAAAAAATCCCTAGGAAAAAAGCAAATCCAGCCTGCCCTCTGACTAATCATTAACCTAAAACATTTTTTTATGTTTATTGTGTTTTCAAATGTTGTGTTATATTACAGCATTTTAAAATTATGAACGTGATATCATAAAATAAGCTTTTAAAATTTTTTTTATAGTTGTAGGTGGACAGCATGCCTTTATTTGTTTAGTTTTTTATGTGGTGCTGAAGGTCGAACTCAGTGCCTCACACATGCTAGGCAAGCACTCTGCCACTGAGCTACAGCCCCAGCCCCATAAAATAAGCTTTAAATGAGGCAAAATGGAATGGAAGATCTGAGCAAAGAGAACTTTTTTCCCTTTTCTCCAGGTTATAAAATTGGTCATAAAAATAATAACATATTATTTTTGCCTTCTACTATTATAAAAGTTATGATTTCCATTCAAAATGAAATATTTCCTGTTTTCATATGAGTTGAGTCTTCTTTTTATGGTAGAATGCAGTAAAACATTTAACTGCAATAGTTTGTGGTTTCAAATCTTGCATGTCATTCAGTTAATCTAATCTTCCTATTTTGCAGCTCCATGGACACCAATTATTTGTATCAAACACTATTTTGGCACTGAATTATCTAAAGAGCTTACCTAAAAAAAAATAAAACCAACATTTATTATTTCTATTTTACTTATAATGAGATTGAAACTCAGAGAAGTTAAATAACTTGCTGAAGAGCACACAGCTAAGAGCCAGGATCCCTCCCAAGCAGTGCTGGACTTAGTACTCATTACTGTCCCACCGTATTTCCAAACCAAATTTCTTGTACTTTTCCCCACTTAGGAATCCTATAGTTGTCTCTGCTTCTAAGATAAGAATTTAGTGCCTTTCTTTAATTGGACCTAGAATTTTTGTTTCATTGAGTTGGGAAAAGCACCAGGTCCTGTTGTTAGCCATCACATAAATTATTCCATCTTGTATATACCTCCCTATGATATCAGATAGGTCAAACTTTAAAAATAATGATGTTGCACTCAAAATTACCTGTAGGCATCATACTGTCATTTCATAACTTCTACATTTTGTGCCAAATACTATTTAAACTCTTGCCTCATTGGTCAGATAATTTATTTAATTAATTAGTTTATTATTTTGGTACCAGGGGTTGATCTCAGGGGCACTCAACCACTGAGCCACACCCCTGTCCTTTTTTGTATTTTATTTAGAGACAGGGTCTCACTGGGTTCTTTAGGGACTCGTTGAATTACTGAGGCTGGCTTTGAACTCTTGCCTCCGCCTCCCAAGCTGCTGGGATTACAAGCGTGCACCACCACGACTGGGCCTGAATATAAATTATTAAAGTTAATTTCACCTGTTTGTTTTTATTGTTTTAACGTGGCTACTAGAAAATTTTAAACTACATTTGTGGCTTCTTATAACTCTTTTGGACAGTGCTAGATTAAGTGATTACTCAGACATTAAAAGGTAATAAACTAGTATGGGTGGAATCCAGCGGTTCCTAGTATATACGTTCATCAGGGAAGGCAGCCCCCCCCCCAGTGATAAGGTTAAATATCTGTGGTGACAATTCTACCGTTTTCTCAAAGTTCATCCGTCGGGAAAGGCGCTTTGTCATCAGAAGAAATTCTCAGTCTGATTTTTCACTACCCAGAAATGTGGACCCAGGGCAACATGTCAAGAGCAAGGAAGGGCCAGGGTTTCTTGTGTGTGTTTCTGAGCAGACGGCATAATCAGAGCCATGGTCACCCATGCCGATCATCCGTCCCTGCAATAGAGGCGATCACTTACAAGCGCAGCGTGCAAAGCCAAAGGGCACCCACGAGTTCATTACATAATTCTCGGGAGCATGAGGCCAGTTGTGTGTCTGCCCTGGGAATGGTCGGAGGCTGACAGGAGGGCCAAGGCAGTGACGATGTTTTGACAGTGTGTGTGCTAGAGATTGTTTGTTTGGAAAAAGACTGACCCTCCTCTAGTCTCTCTCTCTCTCTCTCTCTCTCTCTCTCTCTCTCTCTCTCTCTCTCTCTCTGTTTCTCATCTTCCATGTAAACACATAATACCAAGTGACTTTGTTTCTAAGCTGCCTTAGCCTTGCTTTGCAAAGAAAAACCCTGAGTATTCTTCCCTGTAAGACACAGTTGTTATTTTTAGATTGCAGGTTCTTAGCCTGATCTCTGTCGACATCAATCTCTGTTCCTCCTGAGGTCGCAGCCAGTGACAGCTCAGCCTGGTGTGTCCTCCATGGAGGACAGCTCCCTTGCTTCCTAAGGCAAAGATGCGGTGGGACCCCTGAAACTTCACTGCTCAGGCATCTGCAGGAAGACTCCTTGGCATGCGGAGTCCACTGGTGTGACTGTCTGTGGGCCAGTCCCTACCGCAAGCCATGAAGCTGCTGTCTGTCTTTGGGGTCATAGAAAATTCTTGTTCACTCAGAGCCCGTACTCCCAGCAGACTCCAGCTCTCTATTTCAGGAATGTGGCTTTTTCTGCTTATGTCACTTAATGGTATGTTTGGGGTCAAGATGATCCTCCTCCAACCCCCTTGTTACACAAGGTTTGTCAGGTCACCAACTCTTGGGAGCTAATAACCAAGCTATAGCTGGAGAATTCCTGCAGGCTACTCAGGGTGCATCTGGTATACCCCAAGATCCACAACTTGAGTCCCAAGACCTCTGGGAACATGTCTGAGGACCCAAAGCTCCCAGCATTCCCTTCTGTACCCTTTTCTTCATGTCAGGCTGTGAGACACCTGGAGGAACCCTCTGCAAGGCTGCTCCGGGAGTGCCCAGCCGGGGCCTGGTGGGAGATGATGTTGTAACTTTAGCAATCATTCTCAACACTGCAGCTCTCAGGATAAGAAATGAGATGCCACCTGACTACTACTCACTGCTTTTGGAGGCTGGTAGCTGAATGTGGGGGGCACAGGGTGTGTGAAGGGCCCATGGTAACTGGGCCAAGTGAGACCCGGCAGTGGGCAGCTGGCCCTTGCAGGTGTGGGCAGCTTTGGCCTTGTGGCTGGAGGGTGACCTGTCAGGTGGAGATCCCACGGCCAGCTATACATAGCCAGCCAAAGCTTCTTACTGGAGGAACGACTTTCTGCCTCCTCTGCGGGTCCCACCCGAGGCCAGAAGGCTGCCCGTAAATCCCCTGGAAGTCAGTTAGCCCCAGAAAGCAACCGAGTGTGGCGGCCACAGACCCGACAGTCCCCGAGCTGCCCTGCGTCCTTCCTCGGCTGTCCCCGACAGCGGGAGCGCCCTGCCTCAGCCATGGACATGGGGGGCCTGGACAACCTGATCGCCAACACCGCCTACCTGCAGGCCAGGAAGACGGACTCGGACAGCCGCGAGCTGCAGCGGCGCCGTCGGAGCCTGGTGCTGCCCGGGCCGCAGGGCTGTGCCGAGCTGCGCCAGTCGCTGTCCCCGCACTTCCACAGCCTGTGCGAGCAGCAGCCCATCGGCCGCCGCCTCTTCCGAGACTTCCTCGCCACCGTGCCCAAGTACAGCGAGGCCGTGGCCTTCCTGGAGGACGTGCAGAACTGGGAGCTGGCCGAGGAGGGGCCCGCCAAGACCAGCACGCTGCAGCAGCTGGTGGCCACTTGTGCGCGTGACCCGAGCCCACAGTCCTTCCTCAGCCAGGACCTGGCCACCAAGTGCCGAGCCGCTGCCACGGATGAAGAGCGCAAGACCCTGGTGGAGCAGGCCAAGGCGGAGACCATGAGCTTCCTGCAAGAGCAGCCGTTCCAGGACTTCCTGGCCAGCCCCTTCTACGACAGGTTTCTGCAGTGGAAACTCTTCGAGATGCAGCCCGTGTCCGACAAGTACTTCACCGAGTTCCGAGTGCTTGGGAAGGGCGGCTTCGGGGAGGTGAGTGTCTCCAATACCAGGCTGCAGGGGGGTGGGGGGTACAGAGGATGGAGAGGCCGGTGGGGTGGGGTGGGGTTTTGCTATATATATATATATATATATATATATATATATATATATATGGCAAAATATTTATTTATTTATTTATATTTATTTATTTAGAGCTAATTTGGTGCCAGGTGGGGAGGTTTCCCAACCCCCTCCCCCCTCCCCTTCTTTGATGGCCCTATGACACAAATACAAACTCGAAAGAGAGAATACCCAAGAGTGGACTTGACCAAGAACCTCGATCATGGTGGCTACACTGGAAAATGACAGCCACATGACAGGGGGGCCTCCTTCCCCTCAGTTGTGATGATGGACCTAATTTGAGAAGAATGGATATCTAAGCACCCAAAGGCCTTCAAGTCAAGTCCAGAACCTGCTTTGCACCACTGCCGGGCCCTTCTTTTTAAAATAGAAAACCTTTTTTTTTTTTTGGAAGAAATGTCCTTAAAAAAAAAATCTTTATTTAGTTTTATGTGGTGCTAAGGATCCAACCCAGTGCCTCACTCACACGTGCTAGGCAAGAGCTCTGCCACTGAGCCACAACCCCACCATTTTTGATGTAAAATTCACATAGCATAAAATTAACCCATTTTAAAGTGGACGTTTGGTGGCATTTAGTGTATTCACCATCTTTAGCGACAATTCCCCTGGCCAGTTCCAGGACATTTGCATTATTCCTGTACCCATCAACTGCCCCTACCCCACCTCCTCCAGCCCTGGAAACTCACTCTGCTGCCTTCAGGGACTTGCCTGCTCTGGACATTCCAGATAGTATGTGATCCTATCTGCCTTTTCATTCAGCATACCATTCTGGAGGTTACTTTGCATTGCCGCTTGTAGCAATTCTGGCGGAATAACATTTCATTTCATGGATATACCATGTCATGTATCCTTTCATCTGTTGGTGGATACTTGGGTGGCTTCCACCGTTTGGCTATTGTGCGCAGTGCTAGAATGTCCAAGTATCAGCCTGAGGATCTGTCTTAGTGTGTCATGGGTATATGCCTTGGAGGAGAATCCGGGTCATGCAGGGATTCTGTGTTTAACCTTTCCAGGAATCAGCAAACTCCTTCCCACATTTTACAGTCCCACCCATATTGTTCATTGCTCCAGGGTTACTATTTCTTCACATCCTGCCACAGCTTGTCATTTCTTCATTTTTTTTTTTTTTTTAGTCTGGCTGACCTGCCCAGGTGTGGTGGCGCACACCTGTAATCCCAGCAACTTCGGAGGCTGAGGCAGGAGGATTGCAAGTTCAAAGTCAGCCTCAACAACTTAGTGAGGCCCTAAACAACTTAGCAAGACCCTGTCACCAAATAAAATAATAAAATGGGCTGGGGATGTGACTCAGTGGTTGAGAACCCCTGGGTTCAATTCCTGGTACCCCTCACCACCAAAAAAGTATGGGTGACCTAGCCAGGTGAAGTAGGGCCTCCCTATAGTACCCTCGCCATCTTGAGAAGCCTCTTCCTTAAAGCTTCCCTCTTCTCAGAAGCCTGCCATCCAGGTCCTCCACGGCCCTTTGAGGTCCCCTCTCCAGTGCCACCGGCTTTTACGTCTTCCCCTCCCCTTCTCTCTCAGGTGTGTGCCGTCCAGGTGAAGAACACGGGTAAGATGTACGCCTGCAAGAAACTGGACAAGAAGCGGCTGAAGAAGAAGGGTGGGGAGAAGATGGCTCTCCTGGAGAAGGAGATCCTGGAGAAGGTGAACAGCCCTTTCATCGTCTCTCTGGCCTACGCCTTCGAGAGCAAGACCCACCTCTGCCTGGTCATGAGCCTGATGAACGGGGGAGACCTCAAGTTCCACATCTACAACGTGGGCACGCGCGGCCTGGCCATGAGCCGGGTGATCTTCTACACGGCCCAGATGACCTGCGGGGTGCTGCATCTGCATGGCCTCGGCATTGTCTACCGGGACCTGAAGCCCGAGAACGTGCTCCTGGATGACCTCGGCAACTGCAGGCTGTCTGACCTGGGGCTGGCCGTCGAGGTCCAGGATGACAAGCCCATCACCCAGAGGGTGAGTGGCCACCGCGTCCCAGAGGAGGGGAGAGGGCTGTTCTGCCCCTGGGGCTAACGGAGCCGAGGACTTAATTCTTCTGATTTCCTTTGGGTGGTCACCTTGGATGGAGTGAGTAGAGTAAGAGAATGAGCTTAGCGGCTCTTTGGGGGCAGGGGAGCCTCCTTTGCAAGCTGGGGATGATCCAGGTCTCCATGGTAAGATGAAAAGAGCCGAATCGGCAAAGTCCAGGTGTGTGCCATCAAGAACCACCCCACGGTGCCAGCAGGGCCTCGCTTTCCTTCCCAGAAAATAAAGGGCCTGGAACCCTAAAACTCCACCATCCTAGTAGGTAGATTTTAATAGGGTGTTAAATAGAAGCAGCTCCTGACACCCAGTGTATTAAAAGTAAAATGTTCCTTTATTGTTACCGAGTGTGGAACAGGGTGATGTTCTACATGAGAAGAAGGTGGAATTTTAAGTGAAAATATATAGAATAGAACAAAGGCAACTAATGTATATTTTTGGTTTGGTTTTGTTTCCTTTTTCTGGTGCTAGGGATTGAAGCCAGGGTCACTCTACCACTGAGCTATGCCCTCTGGCCCTTTTATTTATTTTTTTAAATTTTGAGACAGGGTCTCACCAAGTTGTTTGAGGCTGGCCTCAAACTTGTGATCCTCTTACCTCAGCCTCCCTAGTAGCTGGGATTATAGGAATACATCACCACAGCCAGGCGACTGATGTCTATTTTGATTAATTTCAGTTGAGGTGACTTGTTGAGAATTCTTTGGTGAAGAGGGGAATTATAATTCAGTAATGAAACTGTGGTGTCTGTGTCAAACAATAGGATTGAAGAAGCAGGGGATATTAGAGATCCGATGAGATTCAGGGGCCTACTGGGTATGAGGGTGAGGGGAGAGGAGGCTCTTGTGCTCTAGTGAGCAGCAGGAACAGAACGGTAGGTAGACTGGCGTGTTTGGTTGTGATCCTTTTGTCTCTGAGGCACCCGTAGCTTGGTGGCTGGAGATGTTCAGGGACACTGAGACCTGTAGATCTGGTGCTGTAGAGAAAGACCTGGGTAGACACGGGGTCATCGTGGGAAGCAGCAGTCACCACAGTCACTTGAGAAACAGGTGGGGAGGAGGACCAGGGACATAAGTTGAGGAACATGTAAGGGCTGTGGAAGAAGAGCAGCCATAGTGGGTTTCAGCTGTGTATCATAGGAAACCCAGTGGCACACACAAGCCAGGTTTATTTTTCTTATGGAACAACTTGTAGAGATAAGAAGTTTCCGGCATTAATTCAGCAACTGCAGGATGATCGAATCCCTATCTCTAGAATTCTGGCCTCTTCCACGTGTTGCAAGATGGCTGCTCTAGCCCCAGCCAGCAGGACCATCTTCCAGGCAGGAGAAAGGAACAAAGGTCAGAAGTAAACGGGCATGCACACACCAGCGGAGTGTGCCCTCTCTTAAGGAGCTTTCTTTGAAGCCCATCCAACAGCTTCCACTTTGATCGCATTGGCTAGGACTGTTACCTGACAACCCCTATCTGCAGGGGAAGCCAATAAATAACATTTGGAGGGGCTTGAGGGGGGTGGTTCTAGTTACTAAGGAAGAAGAGGGGCAGGATGTTAGCCTCCTTGGGACCTGAACGTGTCCCTGAACATCTCCAGCCACCAGGCCACAGGTGCCTCAGAGACAAGAGGATCACAACCAAACACGCCAGTCTATCTACCACGGAAATGGGAATGTCATGAGTCTACATCAATCGATGCATGAAAACGGAAGTGTATTCACTCATGGTTTTGAATTTGCAGTGTCAGTTTTAGGGAGTAGAAACTCCTTTTGAGTGTTCCGGACACAGGTCATGCTAAGTGTTGCTCTATCTCTACCTTACTGGAAGATTGGGACACACACACACACACACACACACACGGCTTTGTCCTTATAAATCCCTTCTCAGTCTTCCTTGGGCTCTGTGCTGGGCCGAGAGAGCATTTAAGAATGGTTCTTTCACCGCCTGTCTGTCAAGCTCTCTGGCTCTTTTGGAACCTGAAGGAAGCTGTGTGCCCTTCAGCACTATCTGCCTTAACCAGTGAGCTCAGTGGAGAGGGGTACAGCCCCGAGACCTCTGCCCCTTTCCCTCTGCTGCCCTTCTGCCCCATGAAACCAAGGAGTTTCATGCTCTAGTCCCCAGGTCTGCCACAGAAGCCCAGGGGGCCATGGATAGCAAGATTGGAATAGGAAAGTGTGGCCTCTTCCCTGTTCACCCCTCCACAGAGCTAAGTAAACCTCCTGAGTTCCAAAGTATTGCAGCTCCCAAGGGGATTTTAGGGTCTTTTTAAAAATACACCTTTATTTTTATTCATTCATTTTTATGTGGTGCTGAGGATTGAACCCAGGGCCTCGTACGTGCTATGTGAGCGCTCTATCACTGAGCCACAACCCTAGCCCCTTAGGGTCTTTATATTCAGAATATTTCACAGACAAAATGAAAAATGACGCATTTTCAGGGTGTCTGTAGTCACATACACTGAGCTGTGACGTCAGGATTCTATGTGGAGGACTGGGTGGTGGCTGCTGGCTCTCCAGGTGACAGGCTCACATGGGAGGAAGTGTGCCTGGCCATGGCGGTCAGCATGTACCTTGACTCTGCAGTCCTTCCAGAAAAGGAAGGGCTTTGTGGCTTAGGGAGCTGGCTAGCTCCTTCCCATTCAGGGGTTCGGTCAGCATGTAAGTTGGGATCTCTTCTGCCACGTGACACAAGACTAGAGTCTGGTATGGAAACTCAGTGACTTCAGGGACAAGCTCTGTAAAGGTCCCTTGGCCTTTTCCTTGTCACAAGGTGGCTTCCAACTCCCAACACTGAGGCCAACTGATCCGTTGATGTTAAAGGACTTGTCCGGGTGGGACCAACACCAACCACACCACAGGAGTCCTTCCAGTACGGGTCCAGAGGTCAGAGATAGCGAAAGTCAGAAACTTAAGGCATGAGGGGCTGGCTTCAAAGATGGATGGGGCACATGGCAAGGAGGGCAGGTGGTCCCGGGGGCTGAGTGCTGCCTCTGCTAACAGCCAGCAAGGACATCACAGTGACAGCCATCACTGTGTGAGCCTGGGGGAGGCTCTTGAACTCCAGATGGGATTACAGCCTGACCGACATCTCAATTTCAGCCTTGTGAGACCCTCACCAAAGAGTCCTGCCCTGCGGCGCCCGAGCTTCTGACGTTCAGAACAGAAAGCTAATAGATGGATGCTGTCCTGAGTTACTAAATTCGTGGCAATTTGTTGCACAGCAATAGAAAATTCATATGAATAATTAACTTAAGGAAGGTAGCCAGGGGAGAGAGATTTTTGTATGCTAGCAATCAAAATTAGTGATGAATATACCAAGGTGCCGGACAGGGCGAGGGGATGTTCTCCTTTCCTATAGGATCAGAACTCATGCCATCTACTGTAATAGGACTGGGGGTTAGAATAGGATGTGGAACTCTGGACCTGACTCTTACAAGCTGGAGAGTCTGCCCCAGATATGAGCTAGACCTCCTGCAGGGACACAGACCATTCCAAGCTTGTGGGGATAAAGTGGTTTGGCTATCAATCAGTCTGTAGGCAGTGGGGAGGCACAGAGATGTTTTAATAGGCAAGTGGCACAACCAGAGTGAGTCTGCCTGCTGCTGCCTGAGGAGAAAGAGATGGGTTGAGAGAAAGGCAATCCAGCAAGAGTCACCGTAATGGTCCACCTGTGAGGTAATGGGGAGCTGACGTCAGGCCCTGGTCTCTGAACTGTCGGTGTCCCCTGGCTTCTCACCTGGGCTCCATCAAGACCCAGATCTTTACTTACTTCTCTTAAAATGTGATTGTCCTCAACAGCGTTCGGGGTGCATGGACCACCCTTTTTTTAAATATTTATTTTTTAGAAGTAGTTGGACACAATTCCTTTATTTATTTATTTATTTATTATGTGGTGCTGAGGATCCAACCCAAGGCCTCACAGGTGCTAGACGAGTGCTCTACCACTGAGCCACAACCCCAGCCCCTGGACCACTCTTCAGATTATGTTGTTTTCTGCCACGTGGGGTTCCTTGGCTGCTGGTGGGTGGACACTAACACAGGGAAGTACTTCCACTGAAAAAGGGGCCAGGAAGCTCTGTCCAGGCCTGAGAAAGACTAGGGCCAACTTGCAAGGGGAAGGCCGGTGCTCGAGGTAGCCTTGGAATTGAAGTCCTTGGAGGAAAAACTTGTAAAGTCAAAAGATTAACATGTGGAATAAGTTCCTATGATTTAATGTATTACCAGTCGGGGTTCTTACGGCGTAAAACTAAGTCACTTAAGAAAACGAAGCTAATGCACTAAGAAGCCCAGAGGCTTAGCCCGTTCCCCGTGTCTGAGCAGTGTCCCTAGGAATCCCCAGCCCGATTCCCAGATCCAACTCTCTGTATTGGCCTCACTCCCAGGCAGACCCTCCCCCAGGGGGCCACCAGCAGCTCTGTCCTCCCCACTGAGCAACCCCGCTGGAGAGAAGGCACTTCTTTGGGCAGCTCGGTCAACCGCCCAACTTCAGTGTCCAGAACTGCCCTGCCTGTCCCTGGAGCCAGAGGAAGGATCTGTCCTACCTCAATCTCATGGATTGAGAGCACAGTAAATGTATTCTTCAAAGAGAATCAGGATGGGAAGATGAAGAAAGGGGCGCCCAGGAACACAAACGGTGACTGCCCCCAGGGACTAATGACACTAAATGGTCTGAAAAGTTTAGAAATGTCTGACTCCTTAATCAAGGGATGATGGGGTCTAGGACCTTTGCAGAGAGGCTCTGAGTGAAGTACTGCTATGAGGCCTGTCTTACAGGCAGGGAAATTGAGATTTAGCCAAGAGACTCACCCACTGCTATTATGGGATAGGAGTCCAGGTGCCTCAGATTCAGAAGTGCTTCCTTTCCACTGTACTGAGTTCATGCACCAAGGCAGAAGTGGCCTGTGATCTCGATGCTATAAAAGGCTGGCCACTGGGGGAAACTCAG